CCACGTCTCCCTCAAGCGCCTCATTCACATGCATGTGTGTAAAAGCACGCCCTATCCGACTGTCCATCACAGGTGATAGGTCATTAGCCAAATGGACACGTGCGTTCACGGTTGGTCTATCTTGGGCCCGAACCATCACATTCCGAGATCTGTAACACATGCCTTGTTCCAGTTCGTGAGACAAATTGGCCACTAATCTTTCCTACTTCTCCCTTCCCCGATCCCACCCTCTAAAAGGGAAACGAGAACCTCATGGAGTAAGCGTACAAGCTGAAATCGGGGAATAGTTTCCGAAACCGAGAATCATGTTCGAATGAGCACAGTCTGAATTCCGATTGTGAGCAATAAATCGATCTCCGGTGAACGTTGGGTGATGAATAAGTCAAATATTAACCTCAAAAACGTCTGAAAGAATTCAAATCAAGAACCTGTGAAACTAATTTCTGCAACCATATCGGGTATAGTCTTATAAGGGACCAAAATATCACAACCACTCCCACGGATACGATTATGAAAACCCTGAGGAAAGATTGACCTACCACACATTTGATAAGCAATAACACAGAAAGAGTGAACAATTTCAGATGCTCACCTTCTTGTCTTCGCCGGGCTTTATCACATATTGCAGGTCGCATAGCTAATGGACATCCTTCATTGGTACACAACAGTACCCCGAGACAACTTTTCTTCAAAATTTGTGCGTTATGATTGTTTGTGTTTCGCATTGCCCATCCACTGGCATGACGTCGAGCTCCTTCGGAAGCGGATTTTTGGTAAGCAAATCGACAATGTCCCTGAGGCCACATAGTGAACGTATCAAACTGACGAATCTAAGGAAAGGCAAATAAAATTAAGGAATTTCAATTAATCAAAATGCGGGAACACGTGGTTCAGCTAAACTAAACATGCAATTCAGCTCATTAAACCAGACCAAAACAATGACGAGAGATACCTTAACTTACCTTTGGTAGTTTGGGATCATTCACATCCCACTGAGAAAGACTAGTTGCGTGATGCAACAGAATGTCCGCTCCAGTCGCTGAGGGAATTTGACTGGGAATCGAAGTGAATCGCATCGTATCGACTGCTTTGCGCATTCCACCAACTCCGTGGTCAGCTGACAAATTCTTCCCCGAATCGCCAGCTGAGGTGACCATTGGGCGGATTTGTGTCCAGGGTGAACAATGACCACGCTGTGACTCGTTTATCGACTGAATCGCTTTGGTCGGGTTGGAAACAGCGGTAGCATGAGATATGGGCATACCACTAACTGCTACTGAAGGGGAAGTAACCACTGGATATGTCATGGACTTGGCGTTGTAATGGTTCACATATTGGGAATAGTCATTTGTGTCGGAAATCGAGCGTGCGCTGTAACCTCGTTGGTTGTTTTCTACCCCGTGTAATGATTCATACTGTCCAAACGGTTTACGTGAATCGATAAAATGTTCTTTGTAATGCGGAGAGTGATTTGTCGTTTCAGTTCCGTAGGGCGAATTGTTAGTCGGTTGTACCTGATAAGGTGCGGTATACTGCGAACTTGGAATCGAATAGCCAGGGTATGCAAATCGCAGACCAACATTCGGCACGACACCTCCAACAGCAGTTGCAGAAGCCACTACAGCTGCTGCTGCGGCTGCTGCAGCTGCTGGACTCAAATCGTACGGTTGTCTATGATAAGGTCTATTGGGAAAACAGTTGGAAGCCGAACCCGTGTCGCACACTTCCATGATTATAAACCGGGCAAGATGATCGTGCGGGACTTCTTCTGAATTGACAGTGAGTCCACTTCAGTTTAGGATGATGGCCCCGCAACTTTGAGCTGTGCATTTTATACGATGCGGGTGAATCCCGTTTCTTTCGGGATAGCATGTTCCGATTGGTCCTCTGCTCAACCAATCAATTTCGAGGCCAGTCACATCTGGACAGTGTCCCTAAAATGTGAACCAATCAAAAGCGACATAGGTGTGAGGGTTTGCGCGTGTCCCCTGTCACCAGAGGGAGGAAGCGTCAGGGAAGGCGCGTGGAGTACTGAAGAAGATGAGGGTTTCCGATCAACGCATGTGGGGGGCACGTGTCGTATAGAAGAAAAACCATCTTATTCGCGAACCTTTACCAGTTTCAAAATCCAGGCGAGAAAATCTAGACCAGAGATGACAAATGATGCTGGACTGTTTCTGCCCTGGTTTTACTGTATGAACAGGGTGGGTTAGCGGCATCGGCCTAAGGAACAGACTGATTGGAAAAAAACGAAACAAATGCGGGAACGAAGGATACGGGTGGGTAGGGATGATTCATCATCGACGCAAAACCACATAGGAACTGTGTGATCTGGTTCATAAATCCTACGGTTTGAAGCATAGAAACTAAAGTAAAGAAGAGAAAAAACGAGTACTAGCGTGTTTTAAGGTTACAAAAAGAGAGAGAGAAAGGAAGAAGATTGCGAATAAAGCAATAAAGATGCACATACCGCTTATATTAAATTATGCGTAGATGGGTGTAAACTGTCGGCTGTGACACTTTTTTCAGAGAAGTCCAAATGAAATCCGTTGATTTGTTTTCCTTGGAGGCGAGATTGAATATAAGAGAATACGGTGTGAAGCACAGTATGCTTCTCATTCAGTTCAGTTTTCGCATTGTGTGAGAATGATATGTGTAATTTTTGTTTTCAATTGCTTCCGGATAATGATGCGCCTTTACCACCGGTCAAGTTGACTGACCTCATCAACTTTTCTGATGTTAAAAAGTTTACGAACAATTTGCCGGCACGTTTAGATATTTAAAATGACTGCAATTTATGAAGGTGTAATTGTCAAACAGGCGCAACGTGCTACTCGTAACTGAAAAGTTGTGGAAGTATTGTGTAGCGTTTCCATACTTGTTAATTATCATCGACAAGCCATGTAAACGAAATTCACAGGGATTCGAACTCAGGCACATGGAGCTTTTAGGTCTGCATACCAACCAGTGATGAATAGACACACTGGATCGATTTGACGAATACAGGATCGTAACCGAATAACCCACACTCAAAACGGTTCTACATAACTTGCAATCAATCGATGATAGTAAAATACTAACCTATTCAGGAAAGG